TGTACTATATTTTGATAAACATATTGTTCAAAATTTTAATATATCTGAATATATAACTGAAATACATATTATATTATTTTAAAGAATATTACTTTAGAACTGTCTATAATCTAAAAATGATGTTAATTATTAAGTTAATGAAAAGAATTAATTATAATGAACCGAGTCACATGGTCATAAGCAACATATTATCTTGGTGAATGGAATTTCAGTTAAATAAAATTTTAATATTTATTTCCCAGTAATATACTTTACATTTTCTTTGGGACATATATGATCTATCAGCATTAAAAGGATTAATATTATATGGAGACAAACAATAAATTAATTTTTATTTATTGATAAATTTGCAAAAAATTGAAAAAATATTCTAGAAAAAAATTAAATATGTAATAGTTTTAATTTAATCTCCACTTTAAAAAATACGTAATTCTTGAATATTTAGTCAATGTCATTATTCAAGTCAATATTTAGTCAGTGCCATTATTTAATTAATGCTTTAATTTAAAATTAATCGATAGCAAAACAACAAATGCATTTATTTATACATTTTAAATTATAGCAACTTGAATCCTTGCTTTTTCAGAGGATTTTTCAGGCATAAATTATCTATATATGCTATTTCATCTTTACAGTGTCCATTATTCACTTATATTGAAAATGTAATATCCTAAATGTAATATCCTCAGAATCAAAGAAAGATATGGGTGCATCACATTTCCACTTTTCATTTCTTGTTGAAGTTGAAGTATGGTGAAACTTCCATGAACAGCCATGAACTTTAGCGATGCACAGTCACGGTATTCCTAATCAAATAAGGTATTTCAACTTGGTCAGAGTCAAGGTGGTATAGTCTGGGTCACGAGGCAAGGTTGTATTATTGGTCAGGCATTAACCCAATCTTGTTATATTTAAATACTTTGTGGCTGAAGAATTATATTTAAATACGTAGTATGATATTCTACTACGAAAATTAGAAATCGAATTACAAATTGTGAATTGTGGAAATTTTGAAGTTTGCAAAATTGCAGAGAATACACACAATATTAAAAATATATATAAACTATGCAAATTATAAAACATGTGTATTAAAATTATGTATAAAAATATACATAAAGTAATTTTCTACGAAGATTTTATTTTTAAATTATATTTTCAAAAATATAAATTTACACAAAAATCTGCATTTGTTAATGATATATAAAAGATCACATAACATTAATCAATAATTTTTTTTTTTTAATTTTAAATGCATACGTGAAGGACGAAATCATCATATACACTATTGTGATAATTGGACAATTAACAATTGGTGCTGTTTCAATAAAAGGTTCACATTTTTGTTATGTTTCGACGAATTATGATTGACGAATGTTTTTCTATTTTCAAGTTTCGTATTAATTTGTAGTAAATAACTGATGCTTCATAAAATTTATAAACTTCTTTTATATGGAAATGTATTATAACATATTTCAATAAAGACACTGCACAGTCTTCAGTTAGCTAATTATATATTATCAATATCTCTGAACTATACATGTTAAAATTAAATCAAAGAAATTCATTTGAATTGTATTCCATATATATGCAATAATTCAATGTCCAAATACGTATGCACGATAGTGTCTATCCCGTAAGTTTATATTAGTATTGGTCATTATATGATGAAAATAAACATGTTTCAATCGCTGTGATACTGAGACAAGCGAATTGACAGAAACATAATTAGATAAGTAAATAAGCACTTATTATAATCAAGTTTCTTACGAAGGCATTTAGTAATATAAATATGTAAAATATAAAAATAAAATTTAAATATTATGCGAGCGCGCGCACACAGAAAAAATCTTTCATTTTGAATATACAAGTGTATCGCATAATTTCATATAATATATAAAAGAAAAAATTCACACTTATATTTTCCAAGCTTAATTTATGACTTCGTTATATTATTCAGATATAGAACACTGTTTATAGTTCATAGGGAACTGCATCATCATAGATACGTCGTATCGTATATCGTAGGTGGATTACATGGAAGTGTGCGCATTTATATCATGGAAAATTGACTATCGATTTTCCACGACATTATTGAATAGAGGTTTCAGAACGCTATTTTTGAATTTGATCACTCAGAATGTTCAAAATAACAATTTCTTTTAAAAATCTCTTGGATTCTACTTGAACCTTGAATTGCAAAAGAAGTGCTAAGATTCGTTAAAACTTAAAGATACACATTCAAAAACGTAAAAACATAATTTTAATGAGAATGAATTTTAAAAATGATTTATGAACGAAACTTATTTAGAAACTAACAATTAATAAATCTGTGGAATTTTTCGGTAAAATTAAATTATTTTCTACGTTGCAACAAAGTAATTTATCTGTCAGAAATAAATTTAACTCTTAACTATAACTTTGTTATTAAGAATTATCGAAAACATATTATTCTGAATTTTTTGTTTATTAAATCGTCGTGTTATGAAGATTAATTTAGTGCAACTATCTTGTTTAATGATACTATAAAACATTGCTGAACATTTTTCCAATTGTTTCATTATTCCAAATTTTTCCAAAAAAATTCTTAAAATTCCCTGCGACAATAAAGTAAAAATTCAGTTAAAAAACCATAAAATCCTAGTACTTACCAATAAGCGAGACGCACATGATCCAAATACCGCCGTACATAGGCACGAGGAAGGTGGCTCGTCTGTTAGAATGATGATTTTTGTGATCGGAGGTCGGCTCTAGCATCGCCACCTGTCCATCCAAGTACCATTTAAGTGTAACATTCGCGTGTGTCAGAGCTTCCTTGTCCCAGCCAACTTCCTCCCAGTGATCTGACATTATGGCACCACACAATAATCC